CCCTCTATGCGTTCCTAAACCATTGGTCCAATTATGATGAAACACTAATGGTTTATTCTGTATATGCTTGCGAAGGTTCTTGGCGCAAAAAATATTTTTTTTCTTCGAACGTTTATCTTTTATGCGTTCCTAACCATCCACACGCGAAGAAGCGAGAGTAAATCACCAGTTATATATAAAATAGTAGCATTGCCCGCGGCTACGCCCGCGTTCAGATGACCAAAAACCGAATTCTTAGGTTTTACATATTAGTATACTCTTACATTGCAGTTTTTGTATTTTTTCTCAGAAATGAGCCATTTTCCTGCAGGAAATAGTATCCTATATGTTGACCTGGATAACCAGCTATAACCATACCAAATTTCATCAAAATGCCTACAGTGGTTTTTCTGTGATGCGGTAACAGACAGACAGACAGACAAAAAATCTAAAAACAATAGATTCGGCCTCTGTATCGATAATAATGTCTATTTCAATAAGATTTTCCAAAAAAATATTTTATGTACAGATTCGGCTCAGTTAAAATTTTATGATATGTATAGATGAAATCAAATCAAACTATTCGCAGTGGGAGTAGGTAAATTATCGAGATTAGTTACTAGTTATTGGCTTTGAGATACGTGTTTATTACATGCCGTTAGCAAACTAACTTCGTTTGCGTGAAACACGTAAGTTCAATCTTATAAATTAGTTTATCTGCAAATATTCCTAGTTTAAATTATTCTAAAACTATCGAACAAATAACAGAAAATACTTTGAAATAAGTAATTATTAATATAATATTATAATATTATAGCTCTACTGTTATGATACTAATATAATAATAATTTTGTCATTAATAATTTAGAGTGCATTTTTAACGACAATTTATATTTTATTAAGAGAAGCCTCGTTTCCCTTTTACGATTCACCTTACGATATTTCTGAGTAGATTTTCTTGTAAGAATGTAATCTGTTTCCAATAGGTTCTTATAATCCATAACGACATGGATAAAAGAATTTCTTATAACCCCTATTTCTAACTGACAGTCGATCCGACTTACTTAATCTGAAAAATCTTATTGAAGCTTTCTATTAATATGTGTACATTTTTCTGGAGTAAAAGTACATAGACATATTTTATTGGTTTACTATAATAATATTGGTGGTGGTGGTGGTGTTCTCCTGGCCGATTCCGGCTACGGCGGCCAATCTCATTGAGACTAGCTAACTGCGCAGGAGATATTATAGTGCTCAAGTGTACGCGCAGACACAAGTGCACTCTCTATTCCTGTCACTCTCATACTCCGGTGGGACGACCACTCGACACGACCAGTGAGAGTTAAGGCGCAGGAGCACGGCTTTACGTGCTCTCCGAGGCACGGGGGTGAAACACCGCCAACTTCCCAACTCCGGGCTGTTACTAAGACTTACTATACAGAAAGACTCAATAAATAAACTTGACCCGACCCGGGACACGAACCCAGGACCTCCGAGTATGCAGCCGTACATGCTAGCCACTACACCACCGAGGCAGTTAATAAATCATATTAAGTATGCTATTGCTGTATTATGCCTTCGCAAAACTTCCTGGAATGTAGTTGTATTTAAACGTATTTTAGCAATACACTCTTGACTCTAACTTGCACGTTTAATATCTCGCCTCAGTCTTGGGTAATAATTCATTGTGCAATAACGTCGTCGCCATCATCGCAAAGCAATACTCCTGCTGTCAAATGCACCGTAAACCTACTTTTTATTACACTGGCAATGCCGACTGTGTACAGGCTGTCTGACATAGTTTTATTCTAAGCAACATTAATTAGTAATTAATTCAACGGATCAAAGCTCAAGAAGTGTCCAAGACACAATTGGTATATCAAGAGAATTGCTATAGATTTAAGCACTACAATATGTTATCTACCAATTACCTCCATTAGTAATAAATAAATTTTTTTTATTTTAAAAATATTGATGAACATATTATATATCTATACATATAATAAAATTCTAACTGAGTCGAATCTGTACATTAAATATTTTTTGGAAAATCTTATTGAAATAAACATTATTATCGATACGGAGGCCGAATTTGTAGTTTTTAGAATTTTTGTCTGTCTGTCTGTTACCGCATCACAGAAAAACCACTGGAGGGATTTTGATGAAATTTGGTATGGTGATAGCTGGTTATCTGGGTCAACATATAGGATACTTTTTACCCTGGGAAAATGTCTCATTTCTGAGAAAAAACACAAAAAGTGCAATGTAAGAGTATACTAATATGTAAAGCCTAAGAATTTGGTTTTTGATCATCTGAACGCGGGCGTAGCCGCGGGCAACGCTAGTTATTATTATAATACAAATATATAGCTACGCCGTGGATTCGCTTCGTACTGAGTAACATTTACCTTCTTTTCGTCATCAGTAAGGAAAAAACAGTTGAAGATCTCGTTAATATTCATCAAATTGCTCTTTTTCTACCCTTTATCCCGCGAGAAGCTTACGAATGCCGTCCATAAATTAGCAGGTACGAACAGCGAGACACTATGGATATAACCATTCGAACATAGTGAATAGAATGAGAATATTAAATAACAAATAGTCACTTATATTTATTTTACAAGTATAGATTTCAAAAAAAATAGTTATACATGGTTTCTAGGCATACGTCATTTAACTGAATCTTGTGATAGGGACTAACTATAATCAACTAACAATAAGTTGATCCCATAAATAGAAAGCATTTCGAAGTAGAGACAACTAACAAAGATAAGGCAAATATGACGTGTTGATAATATCGAAAAGGTATCCAAGCGAAAGCTCCATTTTATGCGGAGTTGTCAAAGTAACAGAGACGGTTATTTCCTAGCTGCAGCGCCTGGTCTAGGTCACTTAACCAGGTCACAGATAGGGATGACGACTTACGTAATTTACAGAAATTCTAGAAAATAATATTCTGTATACCATCGCAATGCACTGCTATTTTTTTTGACGACACGTTTGGCTCAGTTTGTAGTAACCCTACTTGTTGTGCCAGCGGTCGCGGGTTCGAGTCCCGCTGGGGGCATTCATTTGTGTGATGAGCACGAATGTTTGTACTTCAGTCATGGGTGTTTATATTTATAATATGTATGTAGGTATTTAAAGTTATATATGTGCAGTGTATCAACTATCTGGTATCCATAACACAAGCCTCGTAGCTTACCATGGAACTAGATAGTGCTGTGTGTTAATGTCCCAACATTTATTATTATTATTAATTTATTCTTTTTTAATTTTTACATAAAATTAAGAATTTAGGCATGAGATCTATTGTAACGTAGGTATAAATTTATAATGTATTTAGATATTTGCTATGAGTTTAGTTTTTAAACATCCGTCTCAAAAATCTAACTTTATTTTCCATAGATATTTATACGGATTACAATATGCTATTTTAGTTTTTTAATGTAAAGTGGCTAGAAGCGTTATGTTGCTTTTAAATTATATAATAAATTACAATTAATTCTGAGCACATTGAAAATAAATCACCATATATGTAGGTATTTTATATTATACATATAATATCAATAAGCAACACATTGTTGAAAAATGTCTGCCCGAAACTATTTTTTATCTTTATTTCAAAGTAAAAGGCCTTAAATCACTTTATAAACAAAGTTTTGAGTGTTGTAGTTATAAAATATATTATTTATATGTTAAAAGCTTAATTGGCAACCCTCGCCGCGCAGCCTCGACGGACCTGTTGATACTCGTATATTGATTGTGATTTTGTGTGATTACGTTCCATTACTTTACGCTGCTTGAACAAAACTTTAGATTGCTATTATAATAACAGCATTTAACTTTTATGCACAATAAGCTAATTATATTTTTATTATACTTATCCCTTTTAATTGTATCAATTTTATTATTATATCTATACAAAAGCTTTACACGAAATTTTAATAATTAACATTAGAATTTATATGAAGACATAAAAAATACAGGTACAACTAATTTTGAAAGGAATTGGGACTTATTTTGTTAGACCGCATTAATCATGAAATTCGTGAAATTATCATGTAAGTACTTGGGCGCCCGAGCTTCGCTCGGAGTTTTTGGTCAAGAGTTCAATTTTTTTTAAACTAAAAACTTGAATAGATTCACAAAAAAGACAAAAAAAGACAAAAGTAAAACTTTGTAGACGACCGGAATTCGAACCCGGCACCTGGGATTGTCAATATGGCGCCTTTAGTCGCTTGACTACGATGTTTATGCCCGAGTGTACGAAATTATATTATAAATATTTTGCGTAGAATAATGCAAAAGAAAACCGCATGAAAACTCGAAGACATGCCTTTTCCCAGACATAGACTAATCTAGATCGATTTTTCGCCAACAAAAACCCCCACATGCCAAATTTCAACGAAATCGTTAAAGCCGTTACCAAGATCGCCGGTATCTATACATATAATAAAATTGTAACTAAGCCGAATCTGTACATTAAATATTTTTTGGAAAATCTAATTGAAATTGTCATTATTGACTATAAAATTAATTCTATTATACAGTTACTGTGTATCCAAGTGTAGTAAGAATTAAAAAAAATTAGTAAGTAATATTAAGTGACTAAACATGTAGTTCAATCAAATTACGTACGAGTATATCTGAAGTCCATGCCTCCATAAGTTTAATTAAGACAAATCTACAACGACGAGTACATTACATAAAATATTTTAGAGGTATAGATTATAAAGTTATTCACAATTCAAAACCACCTGCTGAGTGCTTCTTAATTAAAATGAAAGCAAGTGTCTGGCTGAATTCACCTCAACTTTAGCTTTTAGTTTATATACTCACACTAAATTTGCTCTTCAAAATTAAAATGAAGATAGGTTCTTAAGCTTAAAGCTTTTTAAAATAATTATTTATTCATCATAAAGTAATGGTAAAACTTAATACATATTTTTATAATGTCTTATATAGCTATGTATCATATAAAAAAATCTACAAAAACTAAAATATAAACATTTTGTTAGCCATGATGCGGCGTGGTTCGATGGCGATCGTTGGCGGCGGCGAGCCGTTGATAGTAGTGGAGGAAACTGGGGCTGAAGATACTGAAACTTCATACCGGTCGCCCGTCCCCATTCGAGGCTATTCAGAGGACCAAGAGTCCCCACCAGATCCGTACCACTTGTCTCCGTGGCGGGAAACCAGAAAACATTCGCTTCCGACCCCATCATGTACTTCTGGACCTACTGCTAGTCAGGTACTTTTATCAATTTTACTAATTTGGATAACCAAATTATATTTATTATTGTTTAATATTTGTTATTGTTTTTCCTAATCCCATTTAAAAACCCAGTTTTAATAAGAAGTACTATACAACAGGTACGACGTTTATCGGAACGTGGTGAGGGCGTAGCGCGAGAAGCACGTGAAGCTGCTTTTTTGGCAACCTTAAGTCAAGCTCCACCGCAACCTGGTGGCCGAAGGTAAAATCGCAAATTAAACACTTTTTAGAAATAAGGGTATTTCTTAACTTATCTGTTTTAAAAAAATATATAATTTACAGACATTCTGTAGTAACAATATCAAGAGTTCCTCAAGCACTATTTGGACGAGGACGCCGTGAATCAATTGCGGCTTTTCCTGCTCTTGCACGTCGTCGGGATTCAGGTGCTAAAAAATGTAAAAATCTTTTTTTAATTGCCCGAACGCTGATAATAACAAAATTATAAGCACTTTTTTTGTATATTATTCTAGCGACTCAACTTCGCTTCGCTCGGGTTTGTCCCTAGGTTGATTCCCCATACAAACTTTTGTCCCGCCTTCAGGGATGATTTCCGGGATAAAAACTATCCTATGTCCTTAAACTTTCCGTCCTTAAATTGTCTTAAACTATCTTTTTACCAAATTTCATCTAAATTGGCTTAGTAGTTTCAGAGCCTATTCAGTACAAGCAAACAAACAAATAAACAAACAAACAAACAAAAAACTAAATCTTTCCTCTTTATAATATTAGTATAGATATATGTAGAAAATTTTGCATTTTATAATCCACATGATAATTACAGGCCCACCAGCTACTGATACATTGGGAAGTACTCATAATCTACAGCTGGACATAATGGACGACATTGTCCAAGCTCGCAAAGTGCGAATGCGTCTCTGGAATACTTCGAGTGAAAAAGTTTGTGAGGTACAGCCGCTTGACGAAAAATCTCCAATAGGCGGTTCAGTAAGATATACAAATCGAGGACGTAGGCACTCAGACTTTGTTGGAGCACCTCTACCACCAATACCTGCTCGTCGTAGAGCGTCTGAAATGCCTCCACCACCTCCCATTCCGCCTCGCAGCGGAGCAGGCGTCGTATGTACAGATACAGATCTTAAACTCATGTTAAATGCTCTTACGTCGTCGGCTACAGAAATCGATCGTTGTGGTAAACCTGATCGAAACCGACGACTGGCAGATATGCGTTCCAGCAGCTTTGATGCGTCATCATTGCGAGAAAAACTATCAGAATCAGGAACCACGTGGTTCACACGACGACATCAAACCTTAGCGACAAAAAAGAAAGAAAACGAAGTAATAAAACCTAAAGTAACGTTTGCACCTGACGCAAAGGCACCTCCAGGTGATGCTGCAGCCGTGGTGTGGGATAAACCTTCAGGATCAGTCGTGGATGCAAGTGCACTCGGTAGTGCAATAGAAGTGTTTCTTCGTAGCGGCAATAGCGTAAATCCTGGACCTTCAACTTCAGGTACATCCATTTCCAAAGAAGTCCCATCTAAACAAGATTCGGAACCTCGGCCGACACCAAGCACCAGTCGAGCGGGAGTACGCGGTGAGGGTGAACGCTGGTTTATAAATAGATCTGAAGAAGAAGAAACAGCAGAGGGCTGCGATGCTACTCTTTGCTCGTCCCTAAAAGACCTCTTCGTATAAACTCAAAAATAACATTTAAAATTCTTATAAGTACATATTAAGTACATAGTTGTCGAGTACTGGATTATTTCTGACGCGGCGAGTGAGACTTGTGAAGATATCTCACCGTCGTGTGCGCTCGATGTACCTTACTTTATGAATCTTTCAATGTGATAGACTGCGCGCTGGACGCCGGCGCCGGTCGTCCTGAGTCGACTCACGACCGACGCCTGCTCTGCGTTAAATTATTTTTAGAGTAAATTCTATTTTCATTGTAAAATTTTTAATATTAGTAATCAAAATTAATAGAATTATCGTTAGTTAGAAAATTGTAAGTATTTGTATTAAACGAGCGTGCACTTTCCACACCGTACTCAAGCGGCCTCCCACCGCACGCTCGGTCCCCGCCCCGTCTCATTGTCGACAGTCTTTGTCTTGTAATCAAATGTTAACCATTACAATTTAACTTTGTCATTGTATAGCAGATAATTAAATTGAAGACGTCGCGTCGGGAGAAACGTACGCTTAATAGACGAATATGACTTGCAACCGTCATTACCAATAAAATTTTTATCGATGTTTTTGGTGTTTTATTCATCATACTATCATTTCTTATTTACTCATGTTTTAGATGTAATTTATATAAAAATATGAAATATTATTTTACATAATATACAAAGCAATTTATATGCTATTTATAATATAGTATTTTTTATTGAAAATATAAATTAAAGTCAGGCAAAAGAGTAATATTATTAATATTATTATAGTAAAATATAATATAATAGTGTTGGCCTATAATAATGTAATATCATAAAATATATGTAATATCATAAATCACTCCATGAATGTATAATAAATATTATTTGGTATAGATAATAATTATAAACTTATTTAAAAAAATATTAAACTGATTTAATTAAATAAAGTGATTTTGTTGATTCTGTTATTGAACTATTTTAAGTCAATTGATTGTCTCGGGTAGTTAATAAAAATGTGACACTGTCCTAATATAGTTCAGTTCTTAATCAACTTTTGAAAAATAAGGAATAAGAAAAGTGATTGTGTAAGTGTTGGAACGTGAGAGTAAATTCACTAAGTGCAAGTAACGTGTTTTATTGAAAAATCACCGACCCAGAAGTTAGTGCCAACATTTCAGAAGTGGGATAAGGTGAGTAACAGAATTTTTTTTTTCTTTCTTTTGCTTACCTGCCAAGCCTACAAATATTTGTACATAATATAAAATTAGAAAGTTACATTATATGAATTTAAAAATATTATATAGTATTCCAGTGAAAGTATCAATTGTGTTTTATGAAATATACATAAAATTTTTGTCTTTATTACTTTTCGTTTTTCTGTTGTTTTGTTGGGTAAAATAACGTTCTTAATATGTGATACGGTGTATAATGTGTATAACCTTTGTCAGTCTAAACTTTTACTTTAAATTGTCGTTGTACAAATGATGTGTCGAAAATATTTCAACAGTGAAATGGGAAACGATGAGAGCCCCAAGGCGTCAGTGGATCGGCGATCGCGGAGTAGATTGAAGTCCACTAGAAGTCGGCATCGTGGTGATAGCAGTCGCAGTGTGCGAAGCCATGCGAACCACCATCACCAGACCCGCAGTGGTCGCTCGCCCAGCCGACGGTCGCGCAGCCGTATGTGTGTGCAGTCACGCAGTCGCGCTGATCGTCGCAGGCACAGTCGTGCCAACTACCGGACGCGCAGCCGCAGCAGCCACCGATCGCTAAGTCATACCAGTCACCGTTCACGCAGCCGACCTGGACACAGCAGGGCCGTGCAGCGTGGCCATACTGAAACCAGCCAGATGCAACGGCAACAACAGCAAAGGTCTCCCCGCCAAGTTTTAACACCAGACAGGTTAGTGCCAGAAACCTTGTCAAATAGTGGAAATGTTACTCTTACACAGTTAATACAAGCATTACAAACTATAGGGAAAAATAATAGTAATGATAGATTACAGACACAAAATACGCTTCCAGACTTTGATCCCTCCCGTAAAGAACAGACCATTGATATGTGGTTGCACAAAGTAAATGAGTGTGCAGTTATTTATGGCTGGACTGACAAACAGACAACTCACTATGCACTTCCAAAATTGAAGGGTACTGCTCAAAAGTGGTATGAAGGTCTCAATACTGTAATGTTTACGTGGAAGGAATGGCAAGATAAACTGCGCCTGGCTTTTCCTAACGATGATAACTATGGGCGATTACTCTCGACAATGTTAGCCAAACGTGCTAGGTTTAACGAATCTCTCGAGGATTACTTCTATGACAAAGTAGTTTTATTGAATCGTTGTGGCATTGAAGGAAAGAAAGCGGTAGATTGCATTGTATTTGGAATTGACGATCGTACTGTAAGGTTAGGAGCAGAATCGGCTCGATTTGAAACACCGGAACAATTGCTTCCGTTTCTTATAAGTACTAGGGGTACTAGTAATGTTAATGATAGAAAACGTGTTCGAAATACTGATTCAAGTGTAAGTAGGGATGATATCCGACGGGATCGCGTAATAATATGCTTTAATTGCTCACAAAGGGGTCATTATAAATCTCAATGCCCTAGCCCAATTATAAAATGTACTAAATGTTTACGTTTCGGACATACTTCGGATAAATGCGAGAATGGTAGCAAAACTTTAGTAAATACCAATAGTAAACTTACATCTAATTCCGTCATGCTTGTAGCTGGTATTAACGCGAACTGTCATAAGTATTATAAAGAGGCTGTTGTAAATGGTATTTTAAAAACATGCTTTATTGATTTTGGTAGCGCAGTAAGTCTTATTAGAATGTCAGATGTAGAAAGTTTAGATGTCAAATGGGTTCCTGATAATTCGATACCACCTCTGATAGGATTTGGCAACTCAATGGTTAAACCAATAGGTAAATTTTTGGCCACAGTTAAAATTGATCATGCTAGTGCTTTGGTAGAACTGGTTATCGTACCGGATGAAGTACTGAAAGAGCCGTTGCTAATTGGTAGATCATTTACTGAACAACCTCACATAATGGTTGAAAAGGATAATGTAATGTTGAAAATATTCTCAAATGAAATAGCACCAACACGTATTAAGTATAACCTTAATTGCTCCAAAGATACGATAATTGACGGACTGACATTAGTAGAATTTAGCACAGACCCTTCATTTACGGGCGATGTTTATATTGAGGGCAGCAATAGGTTCAAAAATGGGGAAGAACACTATGTGGTACAAGGATTGTTTTCCATTGTCAATGGTCTAGGTATAGCATTGGTAAAAGGGATTAGTTCGCGAACATTTATTATTAAACGTGGTACAGTAATAGCAAGGTGTATCGAGCTGAGCCACTAAGTAATAATAATAAGCCTGACGTTCTCCGAATAGACGTACCTACATCTCCGCGTAGTATTAGCAGTAATGAAATAATGTCCGATGGAACGCTAAGTACTAAAACAATTAATTCATTAATACGCTTGCTTAATAATTACAGACAGTGTTTTGCTTTTAGTCTACAGGAACTTGGGAAAACTGATTTAGTAAATATGTCCATTAAATTGAAAGACGATGAGCCAGTAGTGTACAGACCTTATAGGTTACCTGTTTGCGAAAGGAATAAAGTGCGGGAGTTAGTTAACGAATTAGTCGACTGCAAAATAGTGCGACCTTCGACGTCACCTTATGCTAGTCCCATAGTCGTTGTTAAAAAGAAAACTGGTGAGGTACGCCTATGTGTCGATTATAGGGCCCTAAACAGAAAAACTTACAAAGAAAATTTTCCTTTACCCCGGATTGACGATCAATTAGATTCATTAGCAGGATATCAATATTACACTGTCCTTGATTTAGCTTCTGGTTATTACCAAATAAGTATAAACGAAGAAGATCGTTACAAAACTTCGTTTGTCACGCCAGATGGGCAGTTTGAATTTAATAGGATGCCCTTCGGGTTAGCTAACGCACCGGCAAATTTTATGCGTATGATCAATTTAGTTCTGTCTAGTGCTAGGGATATAGCATCGGCTTATATGGACGATATAATTATACCCTCAAATTCAATAGAAGAAGGATTAAATAAGTTAGAAAAGGTTTTGCAGTTATTGTCGAACGCAGGATTAACATTAAAATTATCTAAATGCTATTTCTTTAGTAAATCTGTAGATTATTTAGGTTTTGAGCTCAGTAAGGAAGGCATTAGGCCAGGATCAAGAAAAATTCAGTCTGTCAAAGAATTTCCAGAGCCTTGTAATTTGCATACTGTTAGACAATTCATTGGGTTATGTAGTTTCTTTAGGCGGTTTATCAAAAATTTTTCGAATATTGCTAAGCCATTGACAAGTCTTTTAAAAAAAGATTCTAAGTGGGAATGGGGTTCTGAGCAGAAAACAGCATTTAACACTCTTAAAGAAATTTTACTGCAAAAGCCAGTTTTAAAATTGTACGATCCTAGTGACGATACCGAGTTGCATACGGATGCCAGTAAATTGGGTATTGCTGGGATCCTTATGCAGCGCGGGAGAGATAACCTACTCAGACCCGTTGCGTATTACAGTCGACAAACTACCATTTATGAACAGCACATGACAGCATACGAACTTGAAACTTTAGCTCTGGTCGCATCATTACAAAGATTTCGCGTTTACTTAATCGGTGTTAGTTTTAAAGTTGTTACAGACTGTAATTCCCTTCGAGCGACATTTTTAAAAAAAGATTTAATACCACGAGTGGCCAGATGGTGGATAACTATGCAAGAGTTTGATTTTTCTATAGAATATCGGCCAGGTAAAACGATGAGTTATATTGATGCTCTTAGTAGAAATCCGCCACTTATGAATAAGGAAAATAGTGAAACAGTTATGGTAGTTGAGGAATCTGATTGGTTAAGTACTGTACAGGAATCTGATTCAGAAATACAGCGGATAGTTTCGATTTTAAAAGACCCAGGGTCGATTCATATTGCCGATATAACGAAAAATTATGTATTACGTAATAATAGGTTATTTCGTGTGAC